GCAGGGTGTAATCGAATAGATTCATAGAAGAAAAAAAAAATCCATTTAGGGTTATTAAATACAAAGACAGAGCCATTTCTGGGATAAGGGTCTCTAGCCAGTGTCCTGTAAATTGCTGTCGTCTGTGGAAGGGTCCTTACCTATACTGCTTCTTCGCTAGGTATCTGCTGTTGGCTGCTGTCAGAGACAAGACAATGAGCTAGAGGGACGTAGTGCAGCCATTCTTACGGTCTATGAATTTCCACAGTATCGGTGATGTTAGATCCTCCTTCAGTGCTGGATATTTGAATTCACCTAGTTCTGCTTTTAAGTCCTTCAGTTTGTGTGTGAACTCTAAGAAGGGCAAAGTTAGTGACCTGAATCTCTTAGCCAGTATCCATTTTCTGTGGCTCTCAAGCAAAGTTCATTATCCATATCCTAGTTCATTATCCATTACCCAAGATAACTCTGCAGACTGATGCTCCATGCTCACCTGCACTTGAGCAACAGCAGGAGAAATTTTCAGCATTACTTCCCGGAGGTAATGCTCCTTTTATGTAGTGTTCACCTAGTAGAGGGCTTTTGCACTGTGTAGTAGCAAATACTTACAGAACACAATAATCTGGGTGCTTCCCTAGTGCAGAGGCTGAGGGTTTCCAACACCTGCATTCCTGGTCCGTCTCCAGCCCTGGAGCTGTTGTGACAAGGCAAAGATTTGTGAAGTCTCGGTGTTATTTATCTATTTATGTATTTATTTTTCATCCCTTTTATGTGGTTCTGATTGCAACTGTTTGTCTAGGGAGATGTTGTATCACATGATGGCTTCTTCTGAGAAAATTTTTGCTGAACAGCACTCCAAGCCTCATGATTCCTCTTGGGAGTTATAGCCATCTTCCAGATGGATTATGGTGCGTCTCCACATAGGATTCTGCTTCCGGGATGCAGCGTAACTGTGTCTAGCCTTATATGTTTTATATAGTGCTCCAGCTGGGATGGAGAACAAGCAGCTGCAGTGTGGAAAGAGAATTACAGAGAATGGCTAGTTCGCTTCACAGACATCCTTTCTAATCTCTTGATTCCACTTACCAAGCAGTACTTACTGAGCTGGAGTCCTGCAGCTAAATTTGTATGGCTTGGCATGTCAGAGTGGGGTCAGGAAACCATGCAAGACTATAGTAAATGCTTTAGAGTTAGACCACTCAAAGGAGCAAAGTAGGCATCCATTAGGCTTTAACCGTGATGTCTAAGGGTCTTGCCTGCAGTAAGCTTGCCTAGTCACATGAACAAACCAAAGCGCAACTCTGTCTCCAGCTCCTGGGGAAGCATTGTCCCTGGTATATACTGTGTTACAAAGCATCTGGGAGCATCCCTGCTTGCTGTCAGCCCCCTGCTGAATGGGCCTATGGGGCAGTAAGTGAAGCAGTATAGAAGTGTTCCTCTGCCCTTTCTCTTCCAGGCGTACCTGGAGTCCTTCTACAAGTTCTGCAAGGTGCTGGGTGGTACCACAGCAGATGCTATGTGCCCAATCCTGGAGGTAGGTCTGGGAACCCTTGTACCTGGGACAGGCTGTATTTTAGTGATACTCCTTGCTCTGTGCTCAGGCTAGCCCACTTGTCAGTATTAAGGATGTCTAAGATACTCTTCAACAACCCAATGCATATTCTCAGGCTGCTCTCTGAGAGACCTAAGAAAAACCTGCCTGAGCATGACTTCAGGTGCCTTTGGTGCCCAAGTCCTGATCTTGCCAGATGCTGACATGTCTTTTTGCCTTTGTGTGCTCTTTCTCTAACATGGATTGGATGAGGAGCAGGAAAGCAGCCACTGCTGCTCTTCTCACAGCAGGTCTCCATGGCAGGGCCACCTGTGGGTGTGCAGGGCTATTGCAGGGCAGTAGCTGAGAGATATTTATTGCTCTTTAACCCAGACAGGGTGCTACTCAGTGAGTTGGCTTGTGTCTGAGGTGGGGACTTCTTCCCCTGACTAGTCCCCAGGCATCAGCTACTGGTCATACTGGGGGCCTATGCAGGTAGCCTACTCTGGCTGAGCAGAGGATAGCTGTACGCTTCCCAGATGGTGAGCCAGGCTTGCTCATACTGCCTTCTGATGTGTCTCTGCTCAAAGCACTGTCAGTATCTGCCAGTTTCTGGCAAAGTCACTGCATCCCACAGTAAAACGCTCTTTTCCTGCAGTTTGAAGCTGATCGGAGGGCCTTCATTATCACCATTAACTCATTTGGTACTGAGCTCTCCAAGGAGGACCGAGCAAAGCTGTTCCCTCACTGTGGCAAGCTCTACCCTGAGGGTCTGGCTCAGCTGGCCAGAGCAGATGACTACGAACAAGTCAAAAATGTTGCTGACTACTACCCTGTGAGTATCTCAGGTTGAGGGCCATGGGAACTGGTACAGGAACCTGCTCTGAATTGGATCTCCTGGGAGCTCAGGGGGAATTTGTGGACTGGCAGCCTGGGTAGAGGGTGCCCATCTTCACCTGACAAATACTATTACTCCTGTGCTATGTTTGGCCAAAATGGAGTTGGCCTTGCCTGGGCTCTGGGTGCCTGAGTTGCTGTTGGCTTGTTAGTCACCAGTGTTGTTGCAGTGGTGATGGGCAGGCCGGGTGTGGGGCCTTGCCCTATATTTCCCATCCCAGGATGGTGGGCCTACACTCACCACGTACCCTTGAGGTAGCAGTGTGGCAGCAGTGCCAGTCTCTTTGACTAGTGGGGGAAAATGTGTCTTCAGCGAGAAGTGCTATGTGCCTGATCTCCAGCACCAGGTTGTCTGACTGAGCTCTGGTTCAAGCAAAAGGGAGCTGATGCTAACTGGCCAGGGTGAGAGGCACGCTTTAGAGGTGTCTGGGTTTTACTTTTGTGCATGACTGGGAGCCTATTTGGAGTCAGAGAGCAAAGTGTTCCCCTACTGAAGCAGCAAGGGCATGTGCCAATCTGCATGGACATGGGGGCCCGGGCCTGAACATTCTGGTCTGTACCTGGTGGGGATATGCCTTGCTCATCCTTCCTGCAGACTCAAAGTGATGATACAGCCTTGAGCACTGCACGTTTCAGAGAAAGGATAGGATTTCTGGACAAGCAGATGCTTCCTCTCTCTTTCCTGTACTTGCCTTCAGCTAACTCCCAGAGTGGTGTGTGTGCAGTGCAGCCTTGGCAGGGTCTTGCTGCCAAAACTCATGTGAGTGCAGGGTAGACTGATGGCTTCTCTGTGTTCTCTGCTGACCTGACATAGTGTTTCGGGTGTCTGTTTGGTGTGCGGGGCCCAGGAATGCTGCTGCTCTTGGAAGGATTTGGGTACATCCTCCTTACGATGTCTTTCTGCAGGAGTACAAGCTGCTATTTGAAGGTGCTGGCAGCAACCCTGGAGACAAGACCCTTGAAGACAGGTTCTTTGAACATGAGGTGAGTGAGCATCTGAGGCATTTCTTGACACATGTCTGCCTGTGCCATTTGCAAAGCTCAGGGTAGCTGCGAGCTTGTTTGCAGCCCTGTCAGCAGGGCTCCAGAGCATCAATGCTGTGGTTGAACAGAGTTCAGCCCCAAGGAAGGAAAGGACCCTCTGCTCCAGTGAGGGAGTGGTGCTCATTCTTGATGGCTGTGACCCCACTCACTCCATGCTCTCTCCCCAGACAAGTTAGAGCAGTGTGGGAGGCAGATTTGGGCTGCGATGGATTTTTGGTCTATGGATAGCAAAAGTAAAGGGCAATTACTTGGGAAAGGAGCCAGAGGGAGGATCCTCACAGCACAGGAGAGTATAAATTCTTCCCCTTCCAAAATCAGAGCCTGTCCTGTCTGAGGCATGTGCTGTAGGTTAGAGCTGGTGCAGAGCAGGCCTTCCAGCCCGCTAGGGAAGTCATGCGACTTCCAGGCTGGTCCACACTTGGGTTGACTGTCTTCCTAGACTGTCTCTGCTAGACTAGAGGAGAGTCTAGCAGAGGTAGACAAATGATGTTTCCTCCTCCTGGCTTTCCCCAGGTGAAGCTGAACAAGCTTGCTTTCCTCAACCAGTTCCATTTTGGAGTCTTCTATGCCTTCGTGAAGCTGAAGGAGCAGGAGTGCCGCAACATTGTGTGGATTGCAGAGTGCATCGCCCAGCGGCACAGGACCAAGATCGACAACTACATTCCTATCTTCTAACGCTGCCCTGTTCCCATATGACCCTGCTGCCCCTGGAGTCCAGAGGGACCCTTGTCCATCTTCTACATGCTCCCTGAGTTATCCCTTGCCCAGGCTCCAGGGATGTCTCATCTGTGGAACTGGCTCAGATGGGGAAGCTGTACAGTTACTAGTTAAATTATTCACAAGCTGAAGTTGAGTTGTGTGTGCTGTGAGGGGTCCAGAGGGACCAGTGGCACAGGCTTGGCCCTGTGCAGCTGTGTAGCAGGAGGTTCATGTTGTGTAGCTAGTAGTACCTGTGTCACTGTACTAATCTGCTGTATGCGCTTCTGCTCACAGAGCAAGCACCAGCCAGAGGTGGCTGCCTCCAAGTTGTTCCCACTGCAGAAGGATGCATCAGGTCTGCAACATCCTGCAACGTCCAAGTCTCCTCTCTGTCAGTGCTCTGAGAATGCCTCGTAGTCAGTGTTGTCCCCATGAGGCTTAGTTTGAGTGTGATTTGTAGTATAGCCAATGCTGCTGTGTAATCCCTGCATCCTGCTGTAGCAAACCCTGTTGTGGGAGAGGCTGACCAGCCCTGGCTGGGGCTGGGACTGGGACTGGGACAGCGCCTATGGGAAGGTGAGGGCAGAACCAGAGCCAGAGCAGAGCACATAGAAAGTGTGTTCCTTCCCTCTCCAATAGCATTTGCACTAGTGCAGGCCCTGCTGTGTCCTCAGAAACAACTCTGGCTAGTTTTTCTCCTGCCCTGGAGCTTGGAGGGGATCCACAGCCTGCCTGAGCTCCTTCCTCCCGCAAGTGCCCCTGGTTTGGAGGCTTACCTGCAGTCCCCAGGTGTGTCTGTCACAACCATGCATGAGTCAGGGCTACTTCTGGCTCTATGGACGCTGCTGTGTTATGACAGAGCCTCTGGACTGGCATAGCACAGGTATCCAGGCTGGAGCAGTCCTCCTGGGGCGTCTGGGCTGGCACTGTCACTTAGCCATATGGGCACAACTGGCTGTTCTGCAGAGCAGCCCTTGGGGTCTGGCTCCACTTGCTCGCTGTGGTTAGTGCAGAAGGCATGTTGGCAGAGGTGTCTCCTGTCTTGTCCAGGCCCTGCCTCTTCATGGTCTGTATTTAGGAGATGGGAGGCAAGCCAGAGCCATGGTGTGGCAGCCCAGCTCCCTTCCTGATGTGTGACATGGCTGGCTCCCACTTGTGCTCAAGGTTATTTGGCCCTGCTGGGAGATGCCCTGTGTTGGTGTGGCAGTGAAGAAGCTTTGCTGATGGGAAACACATGTGCTCTGTGCTGCCACTGGGAAGGGTTGATGGGTAAGAGCAGCCCTGTCCCAGCCTGTGCTGTGGTAACTTCTGCAGTGTGTGTTATCCTGGCCACCCTCCCTCCCTTTTTGCACCAATAAATATCCGCCTACTGCGCTGTGCTCTCCCTGCTTACTCGGGTCTTGGGGATGTATGAGCAGGTGCCTGCTTCAGCCAAGGGGCTGGTGTTGGAGGCGTCAATTAGTGTTTGCTGTGGGAGCTCTGCCTCCACAACTTCTGAATAACTTTGTGCATGTCCTATCTCCTAGGCAGCCTTCAGCTAGGAAGGTCTCACTGGCTAAGTGTGGGTCTTGGCTACTCTGCCTTTTACCCAGGGTGCTTAGATGTTTGTAGAGAACCCCGGCCTAGCCCCTGCCTGACTTGGGCACTTGCTCCTGCCATGGATAGGCAAGGCAGAGCTGTCATGACACCACAGCACAAGCGGCATAACAGTGCCCAATAGTAGGTGTGTGGGTGCAGTTGGGTGCTGAGCTGGTAGGTGCTTGAGAGGAGATGCAGCCCTTGTTGCTTATACTTGCTTAAGAGCCTTCACCCGCTTTGCTAACCTTATTCCCCAATGCCTGGGCTTCCTGCACAGAGGTGCTCGTGGAATCACAGCAAAGCAAAAGGGGAGCCTTTGGGGTGGAGGGAGAGGGGGAGGGGGCAGATGCCTTCTCTTCCTGTCAGGCTATATCCAGGGAATGCATCTCCAACTAACATCCCCTTGGCTAGATATCCCTCTTCTGGTACTGCCTGTGGCACACTAGGCCCTGCTACTCCACCAAAGGCTCTTACCACTACGCTCAGTGTGTAGCTCAACTCAGTGCACAGCTGGGGACCAGCTTTGTTCTCCTGCTTCTATGGCAGGGCATCCCTGAACAAGCACTGTGGTGCTGTGCCACAAAAGTAGACTGTAAGAGCCCAGTGGCATATTAAGAACAGATTTATTTAAAAAGTGATAATCACATAGTTCAACTTGTGAAGAGCTCTGCAGCCTGGTCTGGGACCCCACTGTCCCTGGGAGCACATGGAGTGTGTAATGAACTGCAGTGAGGCAGGCACAGGGGCTGGCACAGCGGTGGGCAGAAGGTCATGGGCCTGACCCAGCCAAGAGGCAACGGAGACGAACACTTGCAGCTCCAGCAGCAGCGAGGAAAACCTTAACGTAGCTGAGAAACACCTGAGGTACGTTCCAGTGTGTCGTGCAGAAACCCAGAGAGTCAGGCAGGAGTGGCCACATTGCAGGATGTGCAGTTAGAAAAAAATACAAAAACAAGGTCTCTAGAAAATGCTGATTCTCACACAATAGAAAATAGATCTGCCTGATTTCGGAAAGCAATTTGGTTTTATGTCTAGTGCTGATCGTTCCCATGTGGCGCATGAGCAGCAGGGCTGGAGGCTGTGCACACACTCGGGCTATTTCATGTGGTGCTTAGAGATTACAGGAGAAGGCTTCCTCCTGCCCCATGATTGCATGCAGGCCAAGGTCAGGCCTTCTTGATGTTGTTGTGGTGCTCTTGCCGCAGCGCTCTGGGCAGCTTGGGGTTGATGAAGAATCCTTTCAGGAACAAGTCTCGGACAAAGTAGGGCAGGTAGCGGTGTATAAAATACATGAGCCCAAGGCCCTGCCCTGGGTAGTAGCGCACAGCTGGATTGGCAGCGAGGAGCCCATCTGTGATGCTGTTCACCACCGCACTGAGGTCCTCCACAGCCACCTTCATGAACTGGATGAACTGCCGGTTGATCTCCTCCACATAGTCCTCGCCATAGGCCTGCAGCAGCTCCTGGGGCAGGCTGGCCACCAGCTGCTGCTTGCGCAGGTTCCAGAATGCGGGGTCACATGTTGTCCCTGCAACGACATAGACGCTGTCGAGCTGTGCTGAGCCCAGGTGCCCGACAGACCTCACTCCTGCCCTGTGCCTGCCCAACAGCACTTTTTGCCCCATTCTGTTCTGGACCAGAGAAGACCTTCACCCCCAGGCCCTCTGTATTGATGCCCGCAGCCCCCACTCCCTTCCCAGCATCCCAGGAAGGAGAGGATGTATCTGCCAGGTCCTCTGAAACACTTGACTGTTACTAGACAGCACGGAAAAGTGGTGTGGGAGCGAGATGGTGGTTCTGATGCCTATTCACCAAATGCAGTGGAAACCACTTGCAATCTAGAGTGCTCCAAGGTACCTGTTCAGTGGCACGCAGAGCACAGCCTGGGTCAAATGCCTGGCCTTTGAGGCACTACTGTAAAAGCAGCTGGCTGAGCTGGTACTTGCTTGGTTTAGCCAGCTCCTGTGGTTGAGGACCTGTTTGCAGGCCCTGGCAGGGCTTTGATTCTGACCCAGTATCTCGCAGAGTAATGCTGCCACCTGAGAACCCAAAGGCCACAGATGGCTCCCACCACTGTGACATTCAAGCTGTTTTAGCCACTGTCCCTCCATGTGGTCATCTTGGTCCCAAGGGATGCTGCTGTAGATGCCAGGGGTGCTCTTGTTCACTTTGCACTGCATGAGATAGGTGCTACCACATAAGGCTGGTCTCTGTAGGGAGCTGCTCAGACTACAGCAAGGCACGCATAATCTTCTGTCATGCCAGCATGGGCATAGATCATGCTGGAGCAAGATGGTTTTAATGGGAGATAGAGGTATACAGGGGGCAGTACTGAGTGGTAACCCTCTGCTGTGCACACATGCTGGTTATATGCATATAGACCTGCGCCCAAAAGATACATCCTGTACTGCTAGCCTCCCTCTGCTGCTGCTGCTGTTGATCTATCACTGCCTTTTATGCCTTCCCATGGGCTCCAGGCCTACCTCTGCTGCTGTAATGACATTTGACTGCAAGGCTATGGGAGTGGATAGCACTCCAGCATCTCTCATGTGTGGCAACACTACAGTGACAAGAGAGCAAGGGCAAAAATTGCCTTGCTGAGGGCAAGGGCAGAAATAACCCGGCAGGTGCCACAAAGCCCTGAGTCCCAGGCAGCTTGGCCAGCTGTGGCAGCGCAGCTGTGTGAACAGATGTCGACCCTCTTACCTGTTTTGTAGTAGCCGGGCAGGATGAGGCTGACTTTGACGCCCCAGGGCTGGAGCTCACTGCGGAAGGTGTCCATGAGCAGGCTGAGTGCAGCCTTTGAGGCACCATAGGCTGCCAGGCAGGGAAATGGCAGGTCACCTTGGAGGAGAGAAAGTGCAAGTGAGCAGGCTCGCGAGTGGCTCTGTGTGTGGCCAGGCCAGCTGAACCCAGTGCAACTAGGAAGGCTTTTGCGGGGCCATATTGCGCATTCTTGACCTCTGTGCAGAGAACAGGCTTAGGTTTTGTTTTGCTGAGAAAGCGTCTCCAATTTGCTCCAAATGAATGAGCTTGTTTAATGGGAAAAAAGTAGGAGGAAGAGTAGGCTGTTTTTCCCTCCTCAGCCTTCTAAATCGCTGATTGGTGCCTCTAGGCAAGGCACATGGCAGATGTGATGGGGTTGCCTATGCTCCTCTGCACCCTGCCCCAGGGAGCAGCAGGGGCGGCTCAGTCCCCTGCAACCTTCTGGTCCTGTTAGGCTCTCTGCACCTGGGACATATATGCACAGACCCATGGCTCCCTGACTCTGGGTGCCAGCTGTGGGGCTCATCTCTGCCCTCAGGTCCTTCTAGGGTGCCTGGTTCCAGCCTGATGGGATGGAGGGAACAGCTGCTTCAAGGTCACCAGCCAGAGTGGGTTGGAGAAGTGGAGGAGTCACCCAGCGCCTGGGCCCAGGGAACGGGAGCCATGCTGTAATGTGAGGATGCTTGGTATGCACCCCTGCCACGTGTACCAGGGTGCCATTGCACTGACAGGCCAAACAGAGGGACAGCGTGTCAATCTGGGGAACTCTGGGTTGCTGCTGACCGCCCCTCCTGCCCTTTCACGCACCCTACTGACGCCTGAGGTGGCTGTGACTGTGGAGGGGGTCTGGACCCCCACCTAAGCAGTGCTCATATTGTAGCCCAGCTTCTGCATTCAGTTACTGGGGTTCCTGGCAAGCCGTGGCATACTGCCCAGCTCTGCGCTATGTGGCCCTAGCTCCCAGAGGAGTCCCAGTTCACTGCACGGCTGCGGTGCTGGAGCTGCTCACCCGCAGGGCTGCTCACAGTGACGATGCGGCCGCCAGCAGAGCGGAGCAGGGGCAGCAGCCCCTTGGTGAGCTCCAGTGACCCGAAGAAGTTCACCTCCATGCAGGTGCGAAACTTGCCCAGTGGTGAGAGCTCTGCATCAGCAATGGTGTCATTGAAGCCGGCGTTGTTCACGAGGCCCCAGAGCCCTGTGGGGATGGAAAGCTTGAAGCGATGGCCCAGGGGTCCCAGCTGCTGCACCTCTCATGGTGGTCCTTCCAGGGGAACCACGGGGTGCCTAGGGACATGCCTGTTTAGAGGAAGCTGTAGCTGAGGGTGCAGGTTGTGGCCGGGGTATCTGTGGGGATGCAACCCACAGGGAGGAGCTAGAGGCCAGGCATAGCCATCCCAGATGCAGGCTGCAGTGCTGAGAGCCTGGGGAACTGTGTGCAGGCTCAGGGCCATGGCAGGGGCCTGCACTCCTACCTGTGCTGTTAGTGTGAGCCTGGATGTGCTGCAGGACATGTTGGATGTCTTCTGGCTTGGTCAGGTCCATTTGCAACAGTGTGAGCCTCTGCGAGCAGCTCTTCTGCAGCTCCTGGGCCCCGGAGCCCTGCAGGTCCAGCACGCTGGCAAACACCCGGAAACCCATGGCATCCAAGTGGCGTGCAGTCGCCTGCCCAAAGCCAGAGTCACAGCCTGTGAGAGCCAAGAGGAGCCCTGGAGTGGTCAGTGATAGCTGCTCCAGCCTCAGTGTCCACTGGTCCAAGAGCCCCGCAGCCCATTCATGTAGATGCACCCCCCGTGCATCTATCTATCTATCACAGGGATCAACCCAAGGGGTCCTTCTTGCCTTCCCCTGGCTCAGTGGTTCCCCCAGGAAAAGCCTAGGTGGCCCTGGTCCTCCAAGCCCAATAGAGTGAGCCAAGTGTGCAAGACTCCCCTCTGGGTGCACATGGCCCTCCCAGGCTCTCTGGCTGGTGTCTTGGGCCACCCTCTCATTCACTGCAACAAAGCAGCCCCAGCCCTCCGCCCTGCTCTGGATGCACTGGCTCCTGACTGCTGGGAGGACGTGACCTTGGCCTAGGGTGTTCGCAGGTCACCTAGCTGCTGTTTTTTAACCTCCTGCAGGAGGAAGAAAACACTCCTTTATCTGCAAACCCATCACCCAGAGCATGGCTCTGATGCAAGCTGCAGATAACACCACAGAGGGCAGGCTCCACAGTTGCAGGCACAGCTGCTCTCTGGGCCCTGTAGTGCCTCAGGAATTCAGACAGGGCATTGTGAGGCTCAGAGGTGATGAGGTTTAAACTAGTATCAGGTCACATCTGTTCCAGCCTATTATGGCTTCATCAGCCAGCCTTAGGAGCTGACATAACCCTAAATGAGAGCTGCTGCTTTTCTCTGAACACTTTTAGCCTCCAAGAGATGCTCCTGTGATGCAGCCTGGGGGCTAAAACACAGAGCAGGCCTCCCCACCTGCCCCATACACTTGGCTAGGGCCTCAAGAAGATTTAAAAAAAAAAAATACAACCCCACGCTCTTCATTGAGTCCTGTGAAAACATCCCCAAGGAACATGGGAGCCCTTCCTCTCTGCACCCTTCTTGCTCTTCCTCTCCATCTTAGTTTTACTAGGCAGCGTGAGCAAGACCAGCACTTAAAAATCCACCTAGCACCATCTCCGCAGCTGGAACTGAACTACCTATATGCAGGTCTGTACAGGAAATGGATGCGTGCATGCAGGTAGACATGCGTGATGTTACTGCCTGTCCCATCACAGAGGTGACACAGCACTAGTGCTGACTCAGCACTAATAGAGGTAATTCAGCACTAATGGTCCCCCACTGTGGTACTCCCCACCTGGGAATGGAGGTTTGTACAGCAGCCGTGGGACTAAACAAATCCTTTCCCAGGCAGAGGCAACACTCAGTGCCTGGAATGTTGCGTTCCCCCCAAGCCTAGCCCATCTCCGAGTCTTGGTGGTACCTGCAGGATCCCAGCCCTTTTCAGCACAGGTATATAGCTGGCATGCTCCTTGCAGCACCTCTGCCTGCCTGTCCTGCTTGCCAGTGTTCACTGTCCCCAAACTCTCTGGTTCTCCATAGGTTCTCTGGTTCAGCCATAGGGACTATGGCTGCCAAACACCCCCAAATTACTGGCTCAGCCCCTCAGGTGGAGGTTTGTCAGGAGGTGCAGCACAGTGACAGAGGCATGTGAGTGGTTGATGCATGGGGCCAGGAGCAGCAGCTCCTAGGTAGTGCCAGAGTCAAGCAGGTGGCAGCAGTTGCAGAGCTCAGGGCTCAGTGGAGCCAAGAGCCCGCAGGGATTGTGGCCCCGGGGAAGTGAGGGAGGGATGAAAACAAACAAAGCCAGCAAGGTACAGTGTGTTCCTGGGGCTGATGGCAGCGCTGATAGCTCCGCGGGGGGAGCCCGTGCCACCGTGGCTGCCTGGCCACATTAACCATTAACAGGGGAGTTCTGTGGGCAACCCAGGAACACACAAGCTCTGCAAGGCCAGCTCCATGGCCCTGCTTCCATCCACCATCCCACCTGGCCCCAGCAGGGGCCCTGGCACTCTTGGGTGCTCCTTGGAGCACTCCCATGACCTGCACTAGGCAGGACAGTGGGCCAGCTAGAGCAGGCCTTATCCAGCACATTACCTCCAGCCCCAGCATGATGCAGTTATTGTGCATGACTGCTCCATGTGGTCCTTCCACAAAGAGGGAAAACAAGTGGGTTTAAGCCTGCCCTTAGCCAGACCTACTTTTGTACACGCACCAACCTGATAAAGGGCTATGTCCAGAGTCCACAGCCAGCCATGTGACCGAGTCACCCTGAGCTGGAGAGGGCTCAATACCAGTCCAGACACTGCCATCTGCTCTGTGGGGCTTGGTGTGCCCCAAAGCAGTTCTGGCTTCCCCAGCTTGGGCCCAGCTAGCACTCTTAAGGCCAAAGCCCTCCCTGTGCCTGGGAGCCACTGAGCTTCTGGGATAGAAATGCTATGCAGAGGGCATACAGGACTGGCTTCAGGGTGGACATGGAGACCAGGTGTCAGCCTTGTTTCCCTGATCAAGCATGCTGAGGCTGGGAACAGGGCGCTGCCTGCTCCAGCACTTTGGGAGCTAGATAAGCTGTGCTCAGCTCAATGCCTGTGGTCCAGTCCCAGGCTCTAATTTACTTTATTGCTGCGTCATAAACCCATAAAGACCCTGGACAAATGCCAGGGTGATAACACACCCCGGAGATGACCGAAGAGGTGCTTACCTGGCAGGAAGCGACTGTTAGCACAGGTGCCCAGGGGGACCCCAGCCCCATGGGACCCCCACCATGGCATGGAGGCTCCTTGCATCTTGAGCCCTGTGAATGTCTGGCCTCATGCCTGGCGAGACATGGTGGTTCCCTCAGCCCTGGGGCTTCTCCCAGAGTCTGTTGCACCTGGATTGCCAGATGCACAACACCACTTTAGCCTTAGGGGCAGCTCAGAAAAGGTCCCCACCTTGGCAGAGAGCCCCCTTGAGTGCCTCAAGCTGGGCAAAAGGCACAAGCTGGACTCCCATCTTTGAGCAGAGCAGATTCAGGCCAGGTCTGTGTCTGCCGTTCAGTCCCTTCTCCATCCTGGGAAAGCCATGTTCTGAGGCCTGGCTCCCAGTAGGATCCAGCATGTGGGAAGCTGGAGGACATGGATACCCTGCAGGCCAGTCTGCTGCAGGCATCCACACACTTAGCACAGCCATGGCCCAGTGGGGCCCAGCACCTGATGTGGGGCACAAGCCAATGTTTAGCTGGACCAGCTCGATGTTGGCCAGGGCATGTTGGCTCAGCATGCCAGAGGGCTACCTGCCAGGACTGGGAGCTCTGCAGATGACACCAGGGATGCCACCAGCTTGCCACAAGTGCTGCAGGATGCCCGTGCCATCTCTTGGTAGGGCGAGCAGCACACCCATCTCTCCCCTCCCCAGGAGGAATGGGAACAAGTCGTGCTGCCAGCAGTCGGCGAGATAAGGTGCATTTCTCATTTCCCAACAGGGCAGGAGAAAACTGCAATAAAGATAAGGTTTAAAAATAAAAGTGTACTTGGCTGTGTCCCTGGGGCGCTGAACTCCACAGCCAGTATCCTGCCTGCTCCTGCCACCTTTGCCATGATACAGCTACCCATGCTGCCGCCCTCCTGGCCTGGGGCTGAGCTCTGTGGGATGGGAAAAGCTTCTGGCTAAAGCATTAAATGCCCTGTTTTTCTCCCAGCAGTGTGGGAGGAGGCAGAGGGATCCATGGGGGCCTGGCTGTACTTCTCAGGGGAAAAAGAGTGGGCCCCCCAGTAGCCCTGCACACAGCAGCTTGCATGTATGGGGAGGTAGCACAGGTCCTGAAAAGCTAGGACCAGCTTCCCGGAGAAAAGAGCAGGAGTGCAGCTGTCACCTCATGGCCACATTCCCAACCCTCGAAACACACAGAAACCTCCCAAAAGCCCAAGGGAGCCAAAGTCCATCCCCAAAGGCTGGCACAGGAGGCTATAGCAGGAGCAAGGTTTGTAGGCTTGTTTTGGCCATGCCCATCAAGTAGGGAGCAAATTCTGTGAGGAAGAGCTAAAGATACCCTTCCATAGCCATATGCCAGCCAAGCCTGACCTCTTTGGGATGGGCCTCTGAACTGGGCAGCAGCTGGCCCACTAGGACAAATAACCGGAGCAATTTGTTTGCCATAGAGGACTGGGGCAGCCAGAGGATTTGTTTCGGAAGTTTTAATTTATTCACCAAAAAAAAAAAAAAAAAAAAAAGAGAGAGATTATCAGCTACAGACAAAAACTTTATAGCCTGCAGAAACCCCAAACATATGAAGCTAAACTTCGCTTGTATTCCTCCTGAAAACATAGACTTAGCACTTTCACAGCCTCCTTATGTTCTCAGTTTTGAGCACTGACACTACCATATTCCAAAAAAGTGTTTCCAGATCTCAAGTTTGTCTTGAGGTCCTCCTTGAAGGCTGGCAGAAGGCCCAGGGACAGGAGCGCTGGCAGGACAAGGGCGGTGATGCTCTGGTGTTATTTAAGGTCTTTGCTGATGTCTGGTGGAGGAGGTTAACACGCTCCTCAAATTCCCAGCTGATGCTGAGCTGGCAGAGCAGGGAAGTGCCGCAAGGAGCCAGGAGGGGAGACATGGGAAAAGAGCAGCAGCAAAAATTCAGTGTGAGAAAAGGCGAATGAGTGGCTCCAGAGCCCAGTCTGGGCGAGGAAGGAAGCTGAGGTGCCTGAACAGGCAGGGAGAAGCCCTGTAAGAGCAGGCAGAGAAAGAGGGCTGCAGAAATAGCCACCCAAATGTCAATTCAGCTGGTGCCAGTGCCCATTGGGGCACTGCTGGGTTTGCATCAGCATTGCACTCCCAGCAGGTACCCAGCTGATGCAAAGGGCCACCCTTCCTCCCAAGTTCTTCATGGGAAGCTTCAAAAGTTTATTTGAAGTTGGAACGTGCTTGGTTTTGCAGTTCTCCTGTGGCTTTGTCTTTTAGGAGCACTGGAAAGGCAGATGGACAAACTCTGCTTCAACCAATGCATGCTCTCACAGCAGGCAAAGAATCCTGACTCCTCCGCACCCCAAGCAGAGCAAAATCCATGTTGTGACAGTGAGAGCTGATCCCCAGATGTGCCAGGGCTGAGCTACTACTGGCAAGGAAGAGTGGGAGGAAGGCTGCAGGGAGAGCCACGT